CCAAGTAGCCTACATTTTCTATAATATCTAGGAATTTTCTATAATGTCCATGAATTATTTTTAATGGGAAAATAATTTTTAAAAAGAGGAGAAAGAGGGTCATCCAGTGAAGACAAAGCCAGTGGCGCCGTCAGGCTTGCTCTTTGGTGACTTTCCACATTGTTGGCGAGGAGCTGCGTCCTCCAGGCGGAGTTCCCGGCGAGATGCGGCTTCATGGCCTCCTTTAGTGATAAAAAGCACAATGAGAAACGGAAACAGTCTCTCCTGAAAAGAGCAGGGTCCCCTTGCTGCAGCGTGCTTTAGAAACTGATCTGACTGGGGAGACTTTTAACAATACGCCAGCTAATGAGTCACATAACACAAAAAAAGGGAAATAGCAGAGGATCGTTTGGAGGGAAGCAAAATGCCCACACGGGGGGAAAGCATGGCCCAGTCCCTATTCCCAGGAGAGGTGTTCTGTAACATGCAGGGGTCAAAGGAGGAACATGAAGGGGACAGGAGGACACGGGGGTACAGTTTAAATCATCTCCAGCAAGTTCTGGTCACTGAGACTCAGAAAGTAACAGGGCAGCCTTCAGGCGAAACACATCGTAGGAAATATTCTTCCTCTACGTCCATCTTCTCATGTGAAAGCAGTCACATGTTCTCAGACGGCTCACGCTGGGCTTTTAAAACCATCGCTGTGCACCCAGGGGCCTGAACAATTCTCATTTCGTCAGTAACAAAATTGTTCAGTCACACCCCTGGAATCCTTTGCGCTGAGATGTCTGCCACTGCCTGTGAAAAGAAAGAAAGAACACTGTGTGAAGAACGGTTTCCCGCTTCCATTCTCACAATACGATTTGCTTCAAAACACGTTCATAATATACAGGGAATGGGTCCAAACGTACTACCAAAAATTGAGAGATTGTCTTTTGGTACTGAAGTCATTACAAGAGGCATTTTTTTCTCTTAATGAGGTGAGTGTTGACCAGTTTGCCAGTGTGAACAGAATGACTGTGGTTGAATGGTCAAGGCTTAGCTCAGTCAAAGTTAAGGCCCAGAAAGTTTCCCAATGTTTTATTTGCCGAATGGTTTCTGCATAAATAAAGGATGAGTTGATAATAAAATAAGAACTGCAATAATTTATTGAAAAGAATTTTCTGATGACTCCCAAAGGAACTTCAAATTCTCTCAGTGAACTAGAATTTAAGTGCAGCAAATACAAGGGTCAGGGGATTATTATGTAGTCATCGAACAATCTGGTGGCCTCAGGGAAGCACCTCCCACCCAGCCCCATCAGGAGGGTATAAAGGTACATTAAAATAAACAGCTTTCCCTCACCGTGGTTCTTACTTCCTTTGCGCTTCAGTGTGGGAGAAGGAAAAATATATACACAAATGTCCCATCCTGAGTTACTGGATCAAAGGCTGATTTGAGACGGGCAGCCCAGGTGAGGAAATTGGTTAAAAAAAAATTCCCCCGAATGTCCACTCCTGCCCTACCTCCGCTGGGGCCAGCTCACACCCACTTGAGCTGGCATTCTCTTCCCTTGCCCTCACCCCAAGGAAAGACACCCTCACCCCTCTAAAGAAAGAAGTATCAGAGAGGCACTACGAGAATACTATTTTAGCATCATGTACCAGGTGGGGAGGAGGGCAATACAGGGGTAGGGGAGGGGGCAACACAGGGGTAGGGGAGTAAGAGGTACAACTACTTAAGTATAAAATAAGCTACAAGGATATATTGATCAACACAGGGAATAGAGCTAATATTTTACAATAACTATAAATGGATTATAACCTTTAAAACTTGTGAATCATTATACTGTCTACCTATAACTTATATAATATTGTACAGCAATTATATTACAATAAAAAAATCAAAAAAAATTTAGCAGCAGACAGGTGGTTGCCTAGAAAATTACATTTTCAGTGAACTTAAGGATATGCTAGACAGACAACATCAAAACAAGAAAATGGATCTTACATCCAGAAGTAAAAAGTATACCAAAAATTGGACATGCCAAATTCACTGTTTCTAAACAATAAACACAAAGTTTAAAAAAAAAAGGTAATCCGTGGCGAAGACTTCCTGGGGTCTGTTCTCTTATACACCCTTTCCATCCCTTCTCTCACAGATGCCCATACGGGCGTGACGTGACATCCTTTGCCCAGGTCATCTCCATTCACCAACTCACTCACTCTCCGTATGTTCATAAAAGTTTAAGTGGAAGCAAAAAGCAAGCTGCTAAGACACCAGCCTGTCTGCTCATTTTCCTTACCGTCAACATTTTTTTTGGAGAAAGGAGAGATGAGGAGCTTAGAGCTTCAGGAGGTGTATGTGTACATCTCATTTTGAATCTTTTCTGATTATTACACCCTCTATGGTTTTTTTTGAACCATTTTAAATTGTTTTGTCTATTCCTAATTTTCTTCTATATTTCAGCTCATAAATTAAACAAAACAACAAATGCTTCAGAACTCACATTATAACTTATTATAAGGTATAGTATTGTGTTTATTAAACACCACGGTGGAAGAGATGGCAATACATTCTTCCTAAACAGACAGGTTTATTTGCATGAGCCACTCGGGAGGCTGTACCTGCCTTCACAGTATGTATAAGATGCATGAATCTTGCTTTTACAAGGTCTTCCAGGATAGAGGGCTTTTAATATGATCCATAATTGTCTGACCCCAAGGAAAAGTACTGTGTGCCCAGGTACATTGAAAGGAAACGACAACACGATGACCCCTACAACACAGTCACCCTGGGGGAGCGGTTCTGCCACGTGGATATAATGCAGAGGCAGCGATCAGTGTGGAGCCTTAGCGCGGGTCAGAGCACAGATGCCTGGCATTTAGGAGGCGCTCAGTAAACACTGGGGGGGGGGAGGGGAGGGGAGCAGAAGGGAGGCGAGGGAGGGGAGGGGAGAAGAGGGGAGGGAGTGTTAACTGTGTTTCCATTCCTTGCAATTCACTTGCTCAAAAAACTCTAATCAAATGGCATGCTCATTGCCGTTTTCTCCCTAGCTCTACACATCCCTGACAACATTTTGAACATTTGGTTTTAGGATCTGGACAGGTAATGGGGTAACATAATTAAAGCAAATGGTAAGAGCATGGAGCAAAGCTTTGGGTTCAATTTTGCCTGGTTAACTTAATTACATTTTTATTGTGCGAAGGAGCTCTTGCTAAAAAAAACCTTAAAAGCTTTACTAAGACATTGTTGGTAGTAAAATGTGATCAACATGCATTTGATAGGAAATAAAAAAAACCAACCCAAAGAACCATAATCTGGATATCCCACACAGCAGTGAACAGCAGTGATGTGTCATGAGAATGCGGTGCATGTCTGAAGTCTAGAATAGTGTGACCTTGACTCAATGCCAAAATAGCTGTATAGTTAGCAAGCGTTTTGTTTAAACATCCAAAAGGGTGCTGTCCCCTACTGCCAGGTGTGCCAGCCTCAGGTGGGGGGCAGACTAGGCGGGGAAAGTCACGTGACGGCAGCTTCTTCTTGGTTTTTCCTATATCCCCACATTGTTGAAAATGTTCACACCATGCATTATTTTCAAATAATGTGCAATTAAAATAACTGAGAAAAAAATCACAATTTTGAATTAGCCTTAAAACATGTAAATTTTCAGAGCAACAAAAAGCCATTAAAACAACTTACTGTGCCAGAATTAGATCTTTGTCCATTAGTGTCCACGAAGTTTTATTTGATTTTATTTGCAATCTCTTTCAGGAGACCCTTGAGATCATTTAGCTTGGGAAGGGAAAAAAAAATAGAACTCGTCTTAAGATCAATTTTCCAACTTTAAATTTTAAATGATTACTCTATGGCTTTTCCATGAAATAGACATACTATACATGAACTATTCAAGTGTAGCTCACGCCTGGGTGGGTCGCAACGACTGGCAGGTGACATGTCGGACCCTGTCCATCGCTAACTTTCTGAAGTTGCATCACTAGTAAATAATCATTTGCACCAATTAGGATTAGCTTTACCCAAATACAAATCACTAGTGATTCCCACATAGAAATGACAGATTTTAACAACACAGAGAAGTAATATATAAAATAGCACTGTTATATGTAACTAATGCTAATCAAATTAAAATCTATCAATAGAGTTCTGCTTTAATACTAAGGAAAATAATATGATACAATACTAATCAAGCTTTTGCAAATAGTGTCTCCCCTCACAAAAAAAAGGATAAATAGCAAAACAACTTAAGTAAAAGGCACAATCAAACTATTTTCAATACATACGTATTTCACAAGTTTATTACACAAGATATATAAAGCTCATTTTAAATTGCATTTCATGTTGTTACACATGATAAAAGCTACAGACACATCACAATCTCCGTGCATCCGTGCAGTTGGCTTCCAACTTGCTACATCACTCACTCAAAAAAAACTCTGTGTTTAACTTGGGCTTATTTCTAGTATTAAACTCATTTAACTCTTTTTTTAAAAGAACAAAAAGAAATCATAAGAAAAAAAAACAGGTTTCTTTCGTATAGCACAGGGAACTATATTCAGCACTTTGTACTGACCTTTAATGAAAAAGAGTATGAAAACGAATACATGTATGTATATGCATGGCTGGGACACTGTGCTGCACACCAGAAACTGACATATTGTAACTGACTGTACTGCAATTAAAAAAAAGAAAAGAAAAGAAAGAAACCATAAGGGCTAATGGCTGCTTAAAATAAAGAAGGCAGAGGTAAAATCTCTACTTCAGACTTAAGGTCAATTGTGAACGACTTTGTTTTCTGGTGTGATAGTAAGATGGATACATTTTTTGTTCACTGTGTTTGTTGACAGTAAAATGACTTTAAAAAGCTGTTTAAAGTAGGGCCCAAGACTTCTAGCACTTGAAACACTAGGCGATCCCTAAAATTCTCTGTGGATAGAAAGGGGAGACTTTGTGTTGCTCAGAAGAGAAGGGGTGGAGCCTGGAGGAGCGAACAGAAAGGAGAGAGAGGGCAGGAGACAGGGTGAGAAGAGGACTGAGGTCAGGAGAGAAGGGGGAGGGGGCAGTGAAATCCCAGGTGGTCGCCGATGACTCCGGGCTGTGTGGTTGCAGGTTTCCCTGCCCAAATTCTACCAAAACCTGCAAAATGCACAGTGTAGATGGGCTTCTTGTGGGAACCAAGGGGCTGAGCCCCGCAGCCAGGGGGATGCAGAGAAGGCTGGACACCCAGGGGGTCCTCGGAGGTCCCCACAGAGCCCTGGCTCGCGCCTGTGTGGACAGCCTCCAACGGGGACTCCAATCACACAGACTTCCTCGTGCTCCCTGGGGTATCGCCCTGCCCAGACCCTCACAGGCTGAGAGGCTTCCCTGGCCCCTGGGAGTCAGTCCAGCTGGTCCAGGGCCCTGACGTCCTGATCGCCCCCACCCCAGGTGCCTCTCTGCCCTGACCCCAGTTGCTGCCATCCTGCTGGTGCTCTGTGCCCAGAGCAGGGTCAGCACCAAGGCTGGCAGAAGCTTTAGCCCCACGCCAGGGCAGCTGTCCACTGGCTCCTTCAAAGCCACCGCAAGTGAACCCACAAGTGAAACAACGCAACACAACAAACAAAAGTAGCCCGTTTTCTCTCCACACACACATCCCCCTAGACAAGTCCCCCGCATCTCTATTCCCGGAACCAGACTGTTTCAGCCGCTCCTACATGGCCACTCTGACCACTCAAAGGGCTCTCTGAAAGGAGTGTGTCCAGAGGCTTCCCGGCACAGGGACCCATCCCTGAAGAGGCCAGCAAGTTCCTGCACAGGACGACCCAGCCTCCCCGCTTCCTCCTGCTCAGCATCCCCCGTCCACGCCCTCCCTCGCCACTGCCTGGGCCACTCCACGCGTCTCTAGGTTCACCTGCTGCCCCTGCTCCCCAGTGAGGCGGACACGGGCCACCTGGAACACGCACCCGATGTCGCAGAGCAGGGCGTTACTGCTTTTCAGTTCTCCATAATTCTGCTTGAAAGTGCTGCTATCCCCAAACCACTTAACAAGGGATCTATCTGTGAAATCTGGGGACCACAGTCACTTTGACAGCACCTCGCCCAGGACCTGGCACATGGCAGGTTCTCAGTGAATACTAAGTGCCATGAGGTACGTAGATGCAGCAAACAATATATTTAAATATAAATATATGGTGAAGAAAAATAATCACGTAAGCACTCTACATTATGTACCACATATTATATTCATCTAATGTAACTACTCAGTCCTAGGGTTTGTTCCCCTGTTGTTCTTTTCATACATTCTTTTAATGTT